ATGGAACTTGAATCAGCAACCTTATGGTTGTTAGGCAACATTACTAAGCACTAAGCCATCGTGCTGCCAAAATGCCTATCAGTGCATACATAAAATAAACGTATCGTATCTGATGCAATAAAAATTTCAGCAAATATTCAGCATTTCCAACTATCTTAACACCAAATTTCCTCCACTCATTTTCTTGTCTGAGTGCTGATGTCAGAATAATCCCTGATTGGTGGAATATAATTTGAGTGATGCTGCACTGTGTTTTCTCAGACCCCAGAGGTCAGTGGAAGTAATGAGGCCATCAAAATGCAGAAAGGAAAAGACTTACAAACGCTAAGAGGTGGCTGAGGTGGAGCTGGGGCTATTATTCTGTCTTTTTCCAAAAGGAAATATAAGGAAACAGTTCAGCTGAAAATTAATTGTCAAAATATAATTAACAATCTTCCTTCCAGTTGTCGCTCTCTAATTAAAATTTGATGCTGAGTATCAATGTGACATGAGAACCAATTATGTTTGATGATGTCACTTGTGCCACTGATGCTTTTATTTAATTTGAAGTCTAGTAGATAGTATTCAACTTAAAGGGGAAATTAAGCACTCAGTCAAGTTTACATTATTTTTTAAATTGATTTCCACTGCCAGCATCTTGGAATATTGCCGTGTCTGACATCATGGTGTTGGTTCAGTTCCCTCAGCTGAACAGATACAGTGGAAGTAATGGACTGAACATGGAGACTGGACAGCCTAATGTAACCTAATGTGTGAAGTTGTGGTGTGGAGCTGGTGCAAATACAAGCATCAGATGCGTCACACCGAGTGCCTTAGTGCCCCCACCAGTGCCGATATACAGCCATATCGTAGTGCTACGAGTGTGATATTGCGTTTATATAACAGTTTGACGGCATAATTGTGTATATAAAAACAAAATTAACCACGGAAAGTTTCAAAAACCCTTTTGTATAAGGAACTACTTTCTTCCACATTGGATTCAAATCATAAGCTGACAGTTAAAACAGCTGAGCAAGCATCTTTTAAACTTTAGATCTGTATAGGTCTGCTTTTTGCTGGCTGTATGTGGGCAGATAATTACACAAAGGGTAAAGAGGCTGTAGGAGTTCTGATATTGCAGAATATCGCACGGCTATCAGCCAATCAGAATTGAGAACCAGGCAGAACTGTTGTATATATATATATATATATATATATATATATATATATATATATATATATATATATTCTACTTTTCTTTTTTCACTTTTAATTACTGATCATTTGATTCGCTTTGGTTCGCTCTCTGTATTTTGCTCCCTGACTGCCTGTATGAGTTTCAACTATGGTTTCAACAAGGTCCGCTACTGATGTAATGGGGGCGGGTACTTTCACTTTTCACTACTACAGCCCTCACCTCTTTTTGTGTTCAAACCAAACTAAGATCAGCTCAGTTTTTCACATGGCAGGTTTCCATCCTTCATACATGTTGAGATATCGACTTGATTGACTTGAAAAGGGAATATGTCTTGACATAGTCCACAAAGACATGACTTAGTAAAGCGTGAAGTCATGTATCATTTTAATTGCAGCATTAGTCTGAATGTAAATCCCCTCATCAGGCAGCGCTGGAGCAGCGTGAGAGAGTGGACCGTAGTACGATGGTCAGGAAGTGCAAAACAACATTACAAAGTGGGAAATACTTATACGAAGCTCGAGACAAATTTACATTTTTGAAAACAATTTTACCTATCACACAATTACAGGAATTTTAGGAAAAATATATATTTTACCAAGGACCAAAAAAATTTTTGAAAAAAAATTAACAAGATGCAAAACACTTTTACCTGTCCCGAAACAAATTTACAATGACAGATTTTTTACGGAAAGGGAATGTATCACACACCGGAAGTGACAATAAATCTGTTAGTTTCATTTGTAATTTTAACAACATTTTAAGGCAACAGTGTTGTTTATCAGTAATCAAACAACAAAATGACAAAATCACTCACTGCTCTTGACTAAAGAACTTTTGTAGTTGTAGTTTTTTTTTTCTTACAGTAAAGATGCTTAAAGCACAGTTAGTTTCTATTGTATTTATTTCCCTTTCCTTACTTACATGGGGGAAAATAAATGTGTATGTGTGTGTTTGTGTGTGTGTTTGTGTGTGTGTGTGTGTGTGTGTGTGTATGTATATATATATATATATATATATACATAAATATGTATACAGTTAAAGTCAGAATTATTAGCCCCCAATTTCTGTTTAACAGAAAGAAGATTTTTCTTCCCATTTCTAAACATAATAGTTTTAACAACTCATTTCTAATAACTAATTTATTTTATCTTTGCTATGATGAAAGTACATTAGATTTTACTTCATATTTTTTAGGATTCTAGAATTCAGCTTAAAGTGACATTCAAAGGCTTAATTAGGGCAATTAGGCAAGTCATTGTATAACAGTGGTTTATTCTGCAGACAAAACAAATATTGCTTAAGGGGGTTAATAATATTGACGTTTAAATAGTTTTCAAAATATTTAAACCTGCTTTTATTCTAGCCAAAATAAAACAAATCAGACTTTCTCCAGAAGAAAAAATATTATCAGACATACTGTCGAAAATTCCTTGCTCTGTTAAGCATAATTTGGGAAATATTTATAAAAAATTTTAAAAATTATAGGAGGGCGAATAATTTTCACTTAAACTGTGTATCGTTTTGAATAATCGTGACTACAATTATGACCAAAACAATCGTGATAATATTTTTTTTCCAAATTTGAGCAGCCCTACTACTAGCAATCAAAGATTTATGTTAAGTTGGCAAGCTGAACGCATTCTGTACTGTAGATGAGACGCGAAGGAGATTGACAATGGTCTTCAGCCTATCAGGACGCAGAACACAATGCGCTGTAAACAAAAAAAGCATGTCAAACTGCACAAAAAAATACACAAAACTACAAGAAGTGCGTTATAGCGAGGAACCACTGTATTATCCATGGCACACTTACACTTGCACCCTGAAGCCGTTTTGAAAATATTTTCAGCCCCCCAAAATGCTGTTGTCAGATAAAAATTCCCAAAACGTTTCCTGCTTTTGTCACACAAACACCCACCAACACAAATGTCATATTCATCAGGTAACAAATCACTTAAATCTTTTGACTTTTAATGAAATGTGACCTGAACACGATTTAAAATACATTTTACAAGCAATATTATGACTCAATGCTTCTAAAAGTCAGTCAACACAGAACAATCAAAATCCCTTTAGGTTTTCCGCAGGTCTGATGAAGGCTGAGAATTATGGGTAAGTGGCCAAACATGTGGGTCCTCCTGTGTCCTTCTAACTGCAGACAGCTTAATCATCACGCCGCGGTAAACAACATCAGCTAAATACGGCTCTCTCACTCACACTCGCTCACTCTCACCCTACTTTTCTTTACTCAAAATGACACATTGAAAAGAGGAGAAAATATCTGGGGCTTTGAAGATTTGCTGTGGGGAGGAGTGAGTGTGGGATGTACATAGACACACAATATAAACATCAGCTGAGGTGTGCGCGCGTGTGTGCGCGCGTGTGTGTGTGTGTGTGTGTGTGCGTGTGTGTGTGTGTGTTGTTGTTGTCTACTTTACCAAATTACCTCATGTCAGGGATTAGAACGGGATGGGCCAGAAAGATGACGGGAAGAGGAGAGAGGGAAAAGTTGAAGTATACGATGAGTGCTGATAGACAGATCAGGAGAGTGGGAGAAGAGAGGGAGACTGTTGATCTCAGTAAGGGGAAACAGAAAAATATATGATGGAAAACAGAAATAAAAAGAATTTCAAAAACATTCTGCACATTCCAAACGTATGACACAGTCATTCTGGAATTCAAATGAGAATCTTTAAATCTTTAAATAAGTCTGATCATGAGACCTTATAAAATCAAAGCGACTTTTGCTCTCTTGAGCAACACTCTTGGTGTCTTTGCGCTCAGTTCATGGATAAAATGTGTTCCAAAAAATGAAAAGTATCTGTAGTTTTAAAATAAAATTATAATCAAATCACATAAAACAAAACAAAAATACTTTAAATTAAAATTAAATTAAACAAAAAAATAAAAATAAAATAAAAACTGAAAAAATAACAAATAAAACAAAAGTAAAAAAATTATTAGAAGAAATTAAAAATAAACAAAAATAAATTAAGCAAAATTAAATAGAAATAATAACAAATAAAACAAAAAACAAAAAATAAATAAAATAAAGCAGAAAAATAACAAATAAAACAAGTAAATAAAATTATTAGAACAAAAATTATAAATAAAATAAATTAGGTAAAAAAAATAACAATTAAAACAAAAAACTAAATAAAATAAAATGCTTAGAAGAAATAAAAAATAAACTAAAATAAATTAAGCAAAATGAAATAAAAAAAATGTATAAAATAAAATAACTAGAAAAAATAACAAATAAAAGTAAATAAAATTATTGGAAGAAATAAAAATTAAATAAATTAGGTAAAATTAAATAAAAAATAACAAATAAAACAAAACAATTAGAAGAAATAACAAATAAAATAAAGCAGAAAAAACAAATAAAACTAAAAAACTAAATAAAATAATTACAAGAAATAAACAAATAAAATTATTTAAATTTAAAAAAATAAAATAGAACAAAAATAACAAATAAAACAACAAAACAAAGTCAGATTATCAGAATAAATAACAAGTAAAAACAAAAATAAAAAAATTACATGAAATAACAAATTAAATAAAACATAAAAAATTACAAATTCAACAAAACAAAATTATATAATTAGAATAAATAGCAAATAAAATAAACTAGAAAAAATAACAAATAAAATAAAATAAACAAAAATTATGGAAAAAAATAACAAACAATACAAAAACAAAATTATTTAAAATAAAATAAAATACCCACTATATTCTTACTCAGATGTCAAACAGTATGACAAATAAATCAAACTGTAGAAGCGAAATGGAAAGCACAATTTCGAAAAGTGTTGAACATTACCTCTGGTATCTGAATGGCATAGGGTTGGTTGTAAAATGATGGAGCATTGTCATTTACGTCCCCGATCTGAATGTTCACTGTATCCTTGACAACCTAAAATTCAAATTAGATCAAATAAAATGTCACTTACTATTATTTCAATGTAACTGTAATCGTAAGTATTTCAATGTTGATTAATCATAACTACCCTATAAAGATCCCATAAAAATATTTTAACTACAAAATATAGTTCAGGTCTGTAATATGTTTTAATTGTATTTAAGTCTAATAAACTTTCCAAGACTGGAATTACTTAATTAAAAAGTACAAGACAACCAGTAAAATTGTAAAACATTCAGATATTTGCTGCTTACTCTTGAAGGATTTCTCCCTGTTATCAATGCTAAAACTGCTTGCTTAATATTTCTGTAAAAACCATGATTATTTTAAGATTCTTTCTTAAATAGATTAAAAAGAGCAACATTTACCTAAAACAAAAATCTCTTATAACATTAAAAATGTCTTTACTGCCCCATCGGAACAACTTAATGCATTTTTAATGCAAGTAAATGTGTATTTTTTGATCAGTATGGTTTTTTTATTATTCAAATATTTGAACAGTAAAGCAAAGAAAAGCAAAGGTTGCACAGATTTTAAAGACAGACATACAGTTGAATTCAAAATTATTAGCCCTCCTCTGTATTTTGTTCCCAATGTTTGTTTAACAAAAATAAGTTTTTATAAACACATTCCTAAACATAATAGTTTTAATAACTCATTTATAATAACTGATTTCTTTTATCTTTGCCATGCACAACCTAGGTGTGATTTTTGATGCTCAGCTGTTTTAAATCTCATCTCCAACATTCAACACCAATAGCTTTTTTTTCCATCTTCACAACATTGCTTGCATTAGACCCTTTTCTTTCAAGGCATGTCTACATTACATCTCGTCGTTTTGTTTTGCAGTTCTTTTTTTGAGAGTTTACCAGCAACTTCTAGGAGGTTACAGTACATTCAAAATTTAGTTGCATGTGTTTCGACACACACATCTTCACGCCATCACATTACTCCAGTTCTTCAGCAATTTCATTGGCTCCCTGTTCAATCTTGTATTGATCTTAAGACTCTGATTTTACACAACATAGCAGTCCATAGGTTAGCTCCAGATTACATTTGAGATCTGGTGACTTTTTCTACTCCTGCTCGCTGTCTTCATTCTGCATCTGAACTCACTTTGTATCAGCCGCGCTGTAGACTATAAACCGTGGGAGGTAGGGCTTTTTCTTACTGTGTGCCTAAATTATGAAATGCACTACACGAATGCCGTTTCTTCGAATGGTTTTAAGAAGCTTCCTAAGAAACATCTTTTAGGTAAAGCATTTAATTTGTGATCATCACTGTCACTTTTATGCAATTTGTAACATTTTGCTTATTTATTGTTCTTTATCGGTTTATTTTTGCGGTGCAACTTCTGGCTTCTTACTGGGATTTTATGCAAGCTTGTGATTATCTGCATTTTTGTTTGCTATTGTATATCTTGTAAGGTCGCTGGTTTCAGCCTTGGCTGGGTCAGTTGGCGCTTCTGTGTGGAGTTTGCATGTTCTCCCCGTGTTGGCGTGGGTTTCCTCCGGGTGCTCCGGTTTCCCCAACAGTCCAAAGCCAAGCAGTTCAGGTGAATTGGGTAGGCTAAACTGTCTGTAGTGTATGTGTGTGAATGAGTGCATATGGATGTTTCCCAGAGATGGGTTGCAGCTGGAAGGGCATCTGCTGCGTAAAAGATATGCTGGTTAAGTTGCCGGTTCATTCCGCTGTGATGACCCCAGATTACAAGGGACTAAGCCGAAAAGAAAATATATATATATATATATATATATATATATTTTTTTTTTTTTCCCAAAATACTAGTATTCTGCTTAAGGAGACATTTAAAGGCTTAACTAGGTTAATTAGGGTACCCTTGCATGTTAGGGTAATTAGGAAAGTCATTGTATAACAGTGGTTTGTTCTGTAGACCAGTGGTTCTCAAACTGTGGTACATGTACCATTAGTGGTACGCGGGCTTCCTTCTGCTGGTACGCAGAGGAATCAAATGTCATATGTACATGCTACATATATTTCACATTTCATCAAAAATGGTTCATATATCAATATGATGACATATAGCATATAATCATAAAGAAACATTTACAGGTTTTGATGAATCTGATACTATATGTTAATACTTTATATTTTAGTACAGGAGCTTTTTAATTTTACTTTGTAAAACCAGTAGCCTACCATTGTTAATTAACTTTTAAAAAGCACATTGTTAATGTTCAAACTTTTTATAATATTAAAAGTGGCTGATAATAATAAATATTCTTAATGATAGGAATTAATCTGTCATGTTTTGAACTGTGCAGAGCTGTAGCTACTTTATACTTCAATACTGCTCATTATGGTGGTACTTGGAGACACAGTTTTTTTCTGAGGTGGTATTTGGTAAAAAACGTTTGAGAACCACTGCTGTAGACATTTAAAAGAACATTGCTTAAGGGAGCTGAAATTATTGAAATAAAACAAATAGGACTTTCTCCAAAAGAAAGAAATATTATAGGAAATACTGTGAAAAAGTCCTTGCTTTTTTAAACATCGATATTTGAATAAGAAAATTCACAGGAGGGCCAATGATTGACTTCAACTGTAGCTGTACAGATAGATGATCTCTAACTCACCCCTTGACTGTCGCTCACAGTGAACTCCACCTGCATCTCTGACTTGGCCTGAAGACACAAAACGGGAAAAAAAGCAGCATTAAAACACTAGATCAGCTCTAGTCATTCAGTTCTTTCAGCATCTGCTCTTCATTTTTGCGTTTCACCTCTCTGTCGAGCGGCTGCCTCAGCCACACCACTCCAGTCGTTCCCTGCACAGCAAAGTAGCGCATGGCCTCTTCCCCGACCACACCGAAAATCAGCGGCTCGCCATCCGGATCCACTGCCTGCAGCTGGGTAATTGAGGTACCTGAAGACACACAGACAATCAATAAAAAGCTGAGTTTTGCATGACTTTTTACATTAATAGACTCTTTGAGATTAAAATAAACATTGCATGTACTCCCTGTGTTGGCGTGGGTTTCCTCCAGGTGCTCTGGTTTCCCCCACAGTCCAAAGACATGCGGTTAAGGTGAATTGAATAAACTAAATTTGTCATAGTGTATGACTGTGAATGGGTGAGTATTGGTGTTTTCCAGTACTGGGTTGCAGCTGGAAAGGCATCCGCAGCGTGAAACATATGCTGTAATAGTTAGCGGTTGTCAATAACATGTGTTCAGCTGTTACAATCACCAGCCATCTAGCCTGTGCAGAACGCTGGAGAACTACACATATGCCACTGATAACTACAAATCCCATCATGCATGGCACACACACCAGTTCCAGTTCTCCTTCATTGCACTCACACAGCTGGGAGCTCATAATGGACTAATCAGATGGACCATATAATCAGCACACACACAGACTTTGCTTCAGTCTTGTTCAACTATAACATTACCAAGCGTTATCCTCTTTAAGTACGCTTCTTGATTGTCCTTTATTTACCTGTTTGTTCCTGTGACTGACCATTGCCTGTCTGACGATTGTAAATAAAGCTGCACATGAATCCTCTCACTATATTGTCACCCCTACTATTGGTTACAGTGGCAGTAAAGGCAGCATATATTAGCTGGCTTGAGAAACTGTCTATTTAAAACAGATTGTATAAATCTCAAAACATGAAGTATATGACTTTGTGAAATTATGCTACATACAGTAAATGTAAAGGAAACAGTTGATAAAAGAAAATTGCTCATTCATTCTCTGCCATTAGATGGCGCTTATCAGCACTTGAAGGAAAATTGCTTAATATTTTGCTCCTTGTTTTGCTTAAACTGCAAGTAATACAGTTATACAAGTAGGTAAAACATTGCAAGTCGATTTGACCCCATTAAGAGATGCTGGTAAATATGAGACATATTTAAGCATTTAAAGTCAAATAAACAGGCAAGCTTGGATGCAAATATATTCAACAGCACATCAGACTATAGAGGGGTCAAAATCAGACATCAACGCTGTCATTTTTCTGATGGTAAAATACTTTCACATATCCCGGTTTAAAATGTACATGAAAAATGAATGGCTGTCATTTATTCATTCAGTTTTCTTCGGCTTAGTCTCTATATTTCAGAGGTCGCCACAGTGGAATGAACCGCCAACTACTCCAGCATATCTTTCATGCAGCGGATGCCCATTCAGTCGCAACCACGGAAACCCACGCCAACATGGGGAGAACATGCAAACACATAAATGCCAACTGGCTTAGGCGGAACTCGAACCAGTGATCTTCTTGCTGTAAGGGAACAGTGCCAACCACTGATCCATCGTGTCACCATGAATGGTTGTTTCAAAGCAAATCCAGGTAAAATACAGACAAATACTATTTTGGCTAGGTTCATCTATAATAATGCGCCCAATTATGGAATAAAACAGTTGAAACACAACCATAAGTTGCTGGCATGTTGAAGAGTGTGTAAACACCACAACTTTTTATTTTCATTCATTCATTCATTTCCTTTTCGGCTTATCAGGGATCGCCACAGCGGAATGAACCGCCAACTTATCCAGCACATGTTTTTACGCGGGCGCCCTTCCAGCCGCAACCCATCTCTGGGAAAAACTTTTATTTTATTTTATGTTACTTTATTTTATTTGAGCAGGAATTTATTTTTTGGAAGAACTGCGGGCAAGGTTTTAATACCTAACCTAAAATCTGCATTAAAAATAATGAATATTTACTTTGCTAGCAAGCATTGTTAATATTACATTGAACAATTAATCCACGCAAATGAATCCACAAATTAAAAAAAAAAACAGTTTGCTTTGTTAATATTTTATCAAAATCTAACGATTTGCTTCTCATGATGTCAGTTTGATGACTGGTGAAATATGCTTGGCCCCTCCAACTGTTAGTTTGCAGCGAGTGAAAGATGATTGGAGGAGCACAAAAATAAAACCCCGCCCCCTATTCAATATTACATTTCAGTTTGAAATATATCATCATACTGAAAAAAAAGTAGATTTAAAGTGTGTTCTATTATGCTCTTTCTAAAATATGTAAAATAAGTTTCAATGATCCATAGAATGTGTCTTAAAATATTCATTTCTTTGCTGTTGTTGGAAGTTGTTGGATAATTTAATACTTTACAGATTGTGTCTGGGTTTTTCTGTCAGAAACCACACACACACACACACACACACACACACACAAACACAAACACAAACACACATACACACACAGACACACACAGACACACACAGACACACACAGACACACACAGACACACACACACACACACACTAATACTTAAGTGCTTGTACCTATCATATATTGTTACTTTCTGTGAAATTTGATAACTCAATACAACTGACAACTACAGTAGTACAAACTTCAGCGAACCAGCGTAAAAATCTGCTATTTTTAAGTCCAAATATTTTACTTCAGCCTTTAAATACAAAAACAATTTAAAGTTTAAAAAGGCAAAATAAATCACACTGTACTTCACTAAAAATAATATATACAGTTAAGGTCAAAATGATTCGCCCTGTTATGAAATTTGTTTTCTTTTTCAAATATTTCCCAAATGATGTTTAACAGAGCAAGGAATTTTTCACAGTATTTCCTCTAATATTTTTCTGGGTGGGTTAATAACGAAAGAATGTTTATTTTGTGTTAATGGTACCTTTAAGATATTTATTTCCCCTTCTACCAGATATTTCACTTCTATGCAAAGTCCTGACCTTGGGAAGCTGTTATTTTAATATTTCATTCTATGCTAATCTCTCATTAATCAAAATCTACAAATACTTACCCTTAAAAAGGAGTTTTGTTCTCCTCTTTATTCTCACATTCCTTTTTTTTAACAGTCTCCATATCCCAAATCCTGCTACAATATAACCAAAAAACAACAATGCCATCCGCTAAGCTCGTTCTGCACCGCACACATACTGTAGTGTGTGTGTGTGTGTGTGTGTGTGTGTGTGTGTGCCTCTGGTAACAGGTGTGTGTTTATGAAGACACCTGGCGAGGGGCTCCCTGACTCATTCCAGCTTTAGTTCTGCTGACGGCGCCAGACGCCTAATGCTGCAAATCCCACATTAATGAGAAAGACCAACAAACAGATCAGGCCCAATCCCTTCCACAGCCACAAACACACAAAGACCCAGAATATTTTACACAAATACATTAGCTCTCACACACACATGTAAGGTAGAACACAGTGCTAGCAAAACCAAAGCCATGAGTTCAGTTCAAATGGATAAAATTTGTGCTTTAAAAGCCACTTTGGATAAAACTCCCAATGTATGTATAAAATAAATGACCAACGGGTCAAACAATACAAGTACCTTTCATATCCAGCCACTTCCAGAATCACAAAGGTCAATCATTTGCAAATACATGTACGTATATAAATACACAGTAGCATGTGAAAGAGAGGTGAAAACACCTCTAATTAATGGGAGGATTTATGAACTGCACTCTCTGTTTATAATGAGATTTATGCAAATTCTGCTGCTTTCAGTGTGTGAGTTATAATTTTGTTAAAGACGTTGCAAATTAAGCGCTTTACTTTACACTCATTAATAATAAAGACTTCCCCACCCTCCTTTTTCCTGTTTTTAGAGATGGAGGGATCTTTTGAGTGCGGTCAGGGAAAGGAATCCTACGTAATAAATGGCTGATCTGGGGTCAGTGATGTTCATCTAAGCATTATCTACAGAGGAATATGTTAAAAGGAATCTAAAATACATATAAATGTCAGTCTAAAAAACAAAACTACAACCACAAAGACAAACAAGCTCTGCTTTTTTGTTTACAATTTACTGATTTAAAACCTGAAAGCTAACTGTCTTGTGCAAAAAAATACTTATGAATAAAATGAATCCCTTTCTTTTCATTTCAAAATCATTTTGTTCCAATAAAATTAAGCCAATCAATTGAATGAATGAATGAATGAATGAATGAATTAATGAATTTTATTTATTGATGTTATTCAATTATTAATTAATTCATTCATTCATTCATTCATTCAGTCATTCATTCGATCGATCGATCGACCGATCGAATTAACTAATTAATTAATAATTGAATAACATCAATAAATAAAATGAATAAACAAATAAACTTACACTAATAAATCAATAAACGAATAAACTGACAAATAAATGAAAGAACGAATAAAAAAGTAAATGAATGAATAAATAAACAAATAAATAAAAAATACAATTAATAAAAAAATATAATAATAAATAAATAAATCCATAAATGTTTAAACGACTAAACAAACAAACAGATAAATGAATAAACAAAATAACAAATGAATGAATAAATAAACAAATAAGTGAATAAATTAACAAACAAATATTAAAAGTTAATAAAATAAATAACTAATAATTGAATAAAAAGAATATCAATAAATAAACAACAAACAATTTAATTAATGAATAAACAGATGAATGAATGAAAAATGAATGAATGAACAATAAAATAAACTAATAAATAAAATGAATAAACTAAAATATAATAAATGAATAAACCGATTAATTAATTAATTATTGAACAAATAATTAAATGAATGAATGAGTAAACAAATAAATAAATAAATGAAAAAACAAATGAATGAATGCATAAACAAAAAATGAATGAATGAATAAACAAATAAAAAATAAAATGAATAAAACTAATAAATAAACAATTGAAATGAATGAATAAATAAACAAATGAAAGAAATTAACGAACAAATGAATGAACGAATGAATTTTATATTTGCAAAATGGACATTTATAAATGAAATTAAATTGTCCAAATTAAATCATTAGCAATGCACATTACTAATAAACAAATCACATATTTCAGTTATAAATTTTACATTCTAGTGCTAAACAAAATATAGTTTTAGCATCAATATTACAATGTGTAAATCTGCAATA